TGGATGGATGGATGGATGGATAAAAAAGCTGAGATATAAACAAAAAAGGCAATAAGCTGAAGAGAAACCGAAAGTAGCAGAAAAGGAACGGTTTGATTAAATAAAAGTAGGAAGAATGGCAAATAAGTTGAAGAAACGAATTATGAACATATTTGAATCAAAATTTTCACGAAATGCTAACACAAAAATATTATCAAATAAATTATCAAATAAAAGGAGTATGAAATGTTGCTTGAAGAATTAACAAAAAGTTATAAACAATAAGAAACAACATACGAAACAAATGATATTAATATACAGCTGTTGTTTAAAGATTTCGTTTTAATAATATTTAATCACCTCTATTGACGTCATCTTGTCTGTAGAATCCATGTGCTGATAACCCCTGTCAGAACTCAGGTACCTGTTACATCACTGATAAGTACGATTTTAACTGCGCCTGCTCTGAGCCGTACTCTGGTAAACTGTGTGAAAAAGGTATGAGAGCTGTTATATTTTTGTTTTAATTCCTGTAGATCTTAATTGAAAAAATTTGCATTTACACCTAAAGCCGACGAGGTCCTTAAGCAGAACACATGAATATAGCAAGCCAATTGAGTGAGCCAGTTTAAGGTTTATGTCAACCTTCGTGGGGTACTCTCGTTTGATTTGAACAATTATTATATGACCGTGAATCTTAGAGCCTGGACACTAGATTCTCCGGTATTAACCGGTCCGATCGCATATTGATCTTACGGCGAAAATATTTTGTACTTTTCAATGAAAAGTGGTCATATAATAAAACTCTTATCAACCGAGCTTGGTCGGTCTGTACGGGATAATCTTGACCTCGGTCTGTACATTCCGACCTCGGTCAAGATTATCCCGTACAGACCTCCCGCTCGGTTAATAAGATCTAAGTAATGAACAACATAATGCAAAATATAATGCATAATGCACGTGCCCATGTCCATAATACAGCTTGGGCTGCCTGTGGTTAGATGGCGGAACAATAAAATCCTTTTGCTTACATGGATGCCGTCACGTGGTGGTGTAAAAACTCTAGTGGTAATGACGAGGTTTGTAATGGAAAAAATTGCATCACGAGGTGTTTGAATAAGTCCCATTCCAAACCATAACAGTTCCTATCAATAGTAACGTACTCTCGTTCTGCATCTTTCAGTATCTTGGATAAGAGTCAGTCAAGAGCCATTGTGCTTCGGCGCCAAGGATAATTCATTCGGCACGTTCTTTGCGCCTTCACCAGGTCGTTTAGCATCGATCAAACTAGTTCATCTAAATGGCACGGTTACGTGTGACAAATCAGCACAGCCAACAAGAAGCACTTTCTGGGGCTGCTTTTCGCCCTCCACGAATATCTCCAAGATCACCATAATCATAACAGATAAAAACAACAGCAAGCTATTGCCAACCTATTCCAACAATCTCAAAGGTTTCCATGGAAACGCCACAGCTATAGTATTCAGCACGGAGAATTTGGGAGTGTTCAATGAGGTAACCGCTGGACAAGAGTTTCGGATCTGGTATTATGAGGACTTCACAAATAACGGAGAAAGCGATAACGACGGTTTGTCTTGTGCGAATGTATATGTCGTCTATTGGCCATAGTGTTATATACATAATGTATTGTAGGTCTCGTATGTATATAACAATGCATCATGATATGACTGTATGAAACAGTACAATGTATGACTGTATGAAACGATACAATGGGAAACCATTTCCACGTCAAGGCATGCTTAACTACAATACAATACAACAATACAATAACTTTATTTATACTTGAATTACAAGATAGCAAGTACATGCTAATATCTCCAAGTTATAAAT